AATGTAAACCGTGATCCTATGTTGAGGTTAAATTGATTGTTTCAGAACGGAGCTTCCAGTTTTGAAAATTTTCAAAAAATTGCGACAATCGCTGCAGAATCCATGTCTAATTTTCCGTTTTCCAGCGATGCCAGGGTACGTGTAAATTCAAATTTTCAGTCCAGTTTTGCTTTCGTTGAGGTATAAGCTGTTTTTTTTTCAGATGAATCTGAGATCTTTCAGACCTGAAGCTGGTTATCTGAGTGATTTTTTCTCATCGTGGCAGATGGACTGTGACGTGACAAATGCTGATCAAAAAGATAAAAGTCCTTCCAAACCAGAAACATCTCCGGATAAAAATTCCAAATTTCTTACTGAAGAGACGTATACAGTTCATGCCCCAGATCTACTTGAATGCAAGTTAGGAAACGATAATAATGGCAATGATTCGAGTAACGATACCGATTACCATCCAAGTTATAGTAGTGATGAAGAAATGACAGATTCGGAACGCGAAAGGAAGCCATCAATAACCGACTCGGACAAAGAAGGGAAGCCATCAAAGCCATCGAGAAAAGTATCAAGAGCTGGCTCTGCCGGAGTGCAACAAAAAAGGCCTCCTCTTCTCCCTCGAAAAAGGTATTGACCATTTTGCCGCATTCGAACTGTATAATATTTTTCAGTAGTTGGGTGTTTCTGTATTCGGATGATGAGAGAAATTTATGAGGAGTGTATCGATGACACTTTTGTGAGGGACATTTCTATCACCAAATCTGGAAGTGGATAGGACAGCTGTAGGTGTTAGGACATTTACTCAACTTCGAAATTAACTTCAATCTGGGTTTGTTGGACATTCAATTAGAAATTACTTCTTTATATTTTATGAAGCTGACTCCAGCAAAGTAGTACTTGCTTAGAAAGAACAATAACAATTCCATTTTCCAAGTTTACACTTTAACTACCTCTATTATAACAAATTTTACAGCTGAAAGGTTGCTCTTAGCTTCATTTTTTAATAAATTTCCTTTTTGTAATTACTAGGGATGAGACCCGTGTTTTAACTGAAGTTATCTAAAGACGTATTATTCCATTCGACATTCAACTCATGTTGAACGTTTCCTCATTTGAACAAAATTCGTCGGAATTGTTCTGAAAAAATGAAAGATTGCTAGCGTTTTTACCTGTAAAATTCAGCAAATTTGTGTTCGAATTGTTCCAATGTGGACCCAGCACTACTCCAGCCATCAAACAAAACATTACTCGGTTACTCCTGTTTGATAGAAACTAGTGTGGATGGGTGTAAAAAAGAATTTATGAAAATTAATATCAATTTTCCTAAGAAACAATTTCATATTCTTCACTGTCTCAATCTGTACCAATCAATTCACTCGAAATTCACATGTTTTGTAAGAGGATGTAGTTTGATATACTTCGGAGAGGGTTTTTTGGGTGCTATCGAACAACAATTGAGTACTCTCAACCCGTTAGAGCAATTTGAAACGTTTTAAGAGAATTTTAGCCTCTATTAGCCTCTATTGGAGCATTTTTCAGAATTAAATGGAAAATATATTTTTAAAAACTCCAAAGCCTCTTGAATTATTTTTCAAATATTCGAAACAAGCCTTGAAATAAAAAAAAACTCCAATTTCATTTTGTTTATATAGTCTATAGGTACGTTAATTTTGTCAGTGGATTTATAAATCTGATTTGGATCATCTTTTACCATTCTGTTCTAGTTTTGAATTCGATTCGTTGGGAAATTGATAACGAAACCATGGAAAAAAAACTTATTCGTTTTGCCGAAACTGTTTTGAAAACAATCCAATGATAAACAAATGAGAATCTGAATCTATTTTCAGGATCTATTCTGGAATAGATTCACTTTTTTGCAGAATCCGAATTCAGTATCGGCTTCTGTTTTGATAAAACAAACATCCGCATGAATCAATTCGAAACGGATTTATGAATCGGTGGCTAGAGAACACCCTGTATCTTTTATTATTCAACTGAAGTTTCTCGTGCTCTTCAACTTTTTAAAATTCAGCTCAATTTTACCTGTGAAGTGATACCCCTGAGAGCAGTAAGAGAAATTTCACAGGCACTGAAGAGCATTTTCCGGCCTTTTCGAACATTTCAAGAGCATTTTTGAGGGAACTTGGACCATCGGTTAGATGCCAAATGAGGGTGTTTGAAGGCCATAGAAGCCTCATCCCTAGTGATAACCTATTTAAAAAAAAAAACTCCGACTTTTTTCTACACGAATGTAATGGAAAATATTTTTTTCCGAGGAAGAAAGAAAAATTTCAAAATCTTAATTTTTGCAAAATAATATTATACAACCTTAACTAATTAAACTTGAACTAAAAAAAAATAAGAAAATCAATACAACCAAGTGAGATAAAATAATCAAAAATTTAAACCATAGAAATAAAAACATACCGTAACGCGGGGTTAGATTGATCTTATTTTTCGATTTTTTTGAATTTATTTGATTATATTTTGAGAACCGGTTGACTTGAGGAATTTCTGGGGTTTCAGTGATAAAGTAGACTCAATTATCTATCATTTGAGACCAGATTCAATTTTCTAGGTGCCATAGTAAGTCTGAAATTACAGGTTGAAATTTCTGTCAAAGTTAAACTTGACTTGGGGGAACTTTGACAGACCCACTTTTTATGACACATATCGATTGAGAAATAAGTAGACAAACTTTCATACCTCCAAAATTTATTTTTTGTTTTATAAGATGAGTTTGATGCATGGTTTGATAGCAGAGTTGCTAACCAACAATAAATGAATCATTACGCATCTGCATTTATATAGTCTGTCCACGGTAAGAAAGACACACTTTTGAAACAAGCGACGAATAGCCAGCAAGGATTTTTCATTTCCACCAATCACATTCGTCAAAAACCTCAAAAAAGTGTGTCTTTCTTACCGTGGACAGACTATAACATTCACCAGAATTGCATTAAAAAAAATTTTTCTGCTCACTTGGCTTCCTTTTGACTATTCTAAGCCTTCCTGATTGAATAATTAAACTCGGAACTTAAAATAAACCCACGTTGTTAATTTTCACATAATTTTTTTGTGTAATCAAAGAACCCCTGCCATCAAATTGTGAATATCTCGGCCCTAAATTAAGATAAATATGTGGAATCAGGCTCATTTGATAGCTGATAGATTTACATGACTTTCTGTACCCATAAATTGATGATCCCTTTTACCAAAAAATTACTACAGCGAAGTTCGTGAGACCAATTTTTTTGTTTCAATTTTTTTGTTGTAATTCATGAAATTCAAATTCAATTTAAAGTGAGAAAAAATTACTGAGGGGGAAACCAATAAATATCCAATCACAGGGGACATCACTGTTACCAAATCACTCAAAAGTTTGGTGGGGATATTTGCAAAGCATCCCCTGGGGGCAAATTCTGATTTACATGCGTTTTAATCAAAGTTACCCCTTAAATCAAAGTAACCCCAAGTTACGGTATTAAAGATGGGAAAAAAAATTTAATGCTAAGAAATTAGATTTTATTTTAAAAATACAAGAAAAAATTTCAACTTCAAATCTGTAATATTATTAATAAAAATGATTATATAAAATTCAATATTAATAAAGACAGAGGAAAAATTGAAAAATCCAAATTAGAAAACACACTTTTCAAGAAAAATTTTATAACCAGGTAAAAATTAATTAAATTAAGTGAGTGTAAAATGAAAATAAAAAGCAATTTTTTTTAAATCTTGAAAAATTTTTAATAATTGAGTTAATTTGAAGAAAATATAAAAATAGAGGAAAAATTTAACCATT